TGTTGCCCACGGCAACGCCACAGGAAGCACAGCAGTGGCTCCATAGAAACCGTTTTTCGCCATTCTGCCGTCTCTTCTCAAACTTCTCGGGTAAAGGGACGATCGGGCTTACATAAGTGTGCATCACATTCCATACAGCTCTCACATCAGGCTTTGCTCACTCAGCAACCATACAGTGCCACACCGGTCTTTACATCACTCTCATTCAGATAACACATGCTCTCCAATCTCATTCTCTCATCATAATGTGTTCAGAAAATGCAATATGCCGCTTTATTCCATATTACCTTTAGTGTAGTATGAAAAATCATAGTGTGAATGTGTCAACTCTCCTTTGACATCCCTCAGGTGCCGATCTGCTAAAACTGACCCGAGAGGATGTCATCCAGATCTGTGGGCCTGCTGATGGCATTCGACTATTTAATGCACTCAAAGGGCGGTAAGTGTCTGTTTGTTATCTGTGTATATCTATATGTACACTACACTCTTTTGGTCAACATGGCTGCATTTATTCAACCCTCTGGTGCTCTTTGGTCATTTTTGACTAAAACATTGTATGTTTTTTACTTTGTCATAATTGTATGAAACTTGGTGAAGATTTTGATACTTGCTATACACAAAATCATTGACATGATTCAAAAAAGTTAAATGGTCCTGGGAAAAAAGTTACATTTGTACTCCTATCGTGGGAAAGGAATTTTATCTAGGGAAAATATTTATTTCATATAAAAATGTAAAATAGTATTTTTGTACATTTTTTTTAAACAAACTTAAACTAATAACTTTAAGTTCACTTTTTTCTTTTCTTTTTCACTTAAGCAATAATGTGCCAAGTGTCTTCTTTAAAAAGAGACCAATCTTTAGTCTGTGCTCCAAAACATTCAATATTTATCGATTTTATATTTATATTTATCGATATGTTATCGAACATTTTAAACATTCAATATTCAATATTTAAATGTCATTTTCAGGTTGATAACAGATAAAAAAAATGGATTATATCTACTACATAAATATCATTTGATAGTGATACCATGAAATCCTCAAAAAATATAAAATATGAATAAAAAAAACATTATTGAACTACAATATAGTACATTTTTATTTTGTTGAAAATAAATGCTTAATATTTTTTCTGGATTCTTTGACCAGAAAGCATTCATTAGAACTAGAACATTTCCTGTAACAATGTAAAAGTCTTTACTGTCACTTTGAATTTATTTATTTATTTATTTTTATTTATTTTTTTGGAATCAAAACATTTTTTTGTGCGTTTTTTTTTAAGTACTACAAACATTTAAACAGTACTCTATTTCTGCGTTCAGTTTCCATGTTTTCCTTTTTCCTGGGCTGTTAATATTTACATATTATTATGAACCAACAAGTATATATTAACCGTGTATGTATATTTTCTTGTATAGGGTAGTCCGTCCACGGCTCACCATCTATGTGTGCCAGGAGTCTCAACAGGGTCGTGAACAGCATCAGAAACATGAGAATGGAGACGGGACTAGTAACACTTTTTTCGGTGAGTTTGACATCAAATAGATAATGTAATTACATTTAATCAAGTTATTGTTGGAATGAAATGTTAGGTAATATTTTTTTCCTTGCCTGCATGCATGGTCACTGATTATGTCAATAAATAGAAATCTTTTTAGAGGCGGCAATGCTTTTTTACTTTAGAATAATGTCCACTTAAGCGCAATATGATTTGGGACATAGTAAATGAAGTCAAATAACCAGAGAAAATATATAGGGTCAGTATTTATTTCATGTTGTCAGGTGTTTTTAAATTTTCCATATTTTTGTTAGCTCGTTATCCTATCTTATTTGAATGTGTTTGCTTTTCTTTTTTTCTCTATGCAGCGATTTGTTGATTAGGGTCTCATGTTTCTTTACCCCCATCTTAGTGTATCATGCTATCTATTTGGAGGAGTTAACAGCTGTGGAACTGACAGAGAAGTTGGCTCAGCTCTTCAGCATCTCTCCACGCCAGATCAGTCAGATCTTCAAGCAGGGACCCACTGGTATCCATGTGTTAGTCAGTGATGAGGTATGAAGGTGCCTCTACAGGCTTTCTTTTCTTCATTTTTGTTTAGTTTTCCTTGCACCAACCTGCCCTCAATATAGAAACATCCCCTTCCTTTTAGAAGCATGGCATTGATCACTTCTCTGTTGACATTAACCCTATTGCTACTTAATAGAGGGCAAGCTTAAAGCTGTTTTCACGCTTTGTTTCGATTGTTTGGTCTGAAGATGCATTGCAAGAGCTGCTTGCCAAAGGCCATTATTGCAGAGCTTGCGAATCTGCTGCTGTGCTTGCAGTCATCAATCCATCATCGATAGCAGTTCATTTCCACAAATAAGACCAATTGTGTACCACACTGCAGTGCTCATGTACCGTATGCACCCAAATTTGCAAAATTGTTCATACTGACCAAACACACTAAGGTTAGTGCCAAAAGCTCTAGTATGTACTGCAACCCACTTCACTGCCTTAATGTGACATATTTCCAAGTTCTATTCAGAATTGAACAAGAAAAGGATCCAGGAATTTATTTAAATTGTATTATTAATTAAAAAAGAGGTTATCGCATACCAGAATTGAGCCTGGAGTTTGGATGATGGGATTGAAAAATAAGAAGGCATGGTGGGTTGAAAAATGAAAACCAGTTCAACATTGTTGTAACGTGCACAATAAGACCAAGATGGTGTTTTAAAGTAAATGTGGTCTGTTTTGAAGAGTTTAAAATTGGCACAAAACGAAAATTCACTATTTTGTAAAGGCATGTTTTCTCGTTACGAACATTCATCTATCCATGTTGCTTTTTTTGAGCTCATAATGTTTAATCAAAATGTCAATCTCGGAGGTGAAAACAACAGACTTCTCTCTCTCTCCCTTCTTCAAATGACTGCAAGCCTACATTCATTCTTGAGTGCCACGCCCACTACTCAAAATCAATCAACAACCGTTGCATAGAATCAAACTTTATTTCTTTTCCTATAATCCGTTACACTCAGATTTACGTCCAATATGGAAAAAAAGATATTTCACTACTTCAGTTTCATTGCAACTTTAATTACACAAGATTTCTTATCCTCTCTTTTTCTGACCTAATCTTTGTTCTCATTCAAACAGATGATTCAGAACTTTCAAGATGAGATGTGTTTTGTCCTGGACACAATGAAAGGTATGAGCAAGCCAAAACCAAGATATCTTTGTTTCCAGGTAACCTCCGTTTTATAACTTTCACTCTGTCAATTTAATTTTCAGCTGAAACAAACGATGGCTATCACATCATTTTGAAGTGAAAACAAAGGATAAAGGGGGGAGCGAAGTGTCCCCTTATGTTTTTCTTAAGATTCAGCCCACAGCCCATTCCCTGCACACTTTCTGGACCTTACTGAAGATCGCTTTGCTTGGAATAGTAATGGAGACGATCATGGGAAAAGGAAAAAAAGGCACCTGACTCATTTTGAAACCCTCACTGTTGTTGTCTATGGTGTGCGTGCTGCCTTTTTCAACCTCTTCCCATTTACAAAAAATGAAATTTCGCAAAGAACATATCATAGAATTTCTATTTTATTACCTTTCTTTGCATCAGTTTGTTTTGTTGCTTTTTTTAAAGGCAGAAAAAATAGGTTTCGTCTATTGTAAGTATGTACTAAGGTCGTACCGGATCAAACAGAGAATGGCTGGCGTTAAATACAGTGTTATTTGGTGTTGACTGCCTGGATGTCATTCTATGAGTATTTTAGCCGCATATGCTAGAACTCCATGTGAAGTGCAGTCCACGTCTCAATGGATACACGTTTTATAAACAACACTGTAAAAATGCAAAGTTATGTCATAGATGGAGACTGAGATTCCCAAGGACGCTTATGAAATTGCATCCATTTATGATGAACGTTGTCGCCAGTACTGTCACCTGTGGAAAAGTGGTTTAGCGTATGATCTTGACATGATCGCAGAATGAAATTCGATCGATAATGCCACCCTACCTTAAATTGACTGAAGCAGTGCTGCACAAATCTCTGATGTCCCTCAAGTTAATTGTTGATTATTATTTTTTTAAGGCTTGTTCAGGTGACTGTTTATGACTGTTGGGCATGATATTAGGTTCTGTAGCTTTGATCCCTGACGATTCTTCAGTTGATGCTGCATATGCACGTTATTTTACAGACAGGAGATGAACGGCAGCAGTGGGCATTATATATATACATGTCTTATTTTATTTTTTTTAACATTGTGCTTAGCACCCCTCTCCACTTTTGTTTCTTCGTCCTTGTTACATATATTAGAATAGTTTTTTACAAATTTCCAACTGGCCAGAGAATTATTTTACAGTATAAAAAGAGAGCTCATGTTTTACTTTCTTTTTGTTTCCTTTTGGATATGACCACTGATTTACTAATCTTGCAGGTGGGGTAAAGGGGAGAAATATTGCACTGCATGACAAAAGGTAGCCATGGTTAGTGCTATACGCAAGCCAGACCAAGATGGTAAAAAGATGCGAGGTATTGTCTGTGACCCTTTACCATGTCATTGCAATGATTAAAATTACCTTGAATCAAGCGGTTTGGTTTTGTATCCTCCCATTATTTATTTTTTTTTTTTTATCACAAAATGCTTAACAGAATAGAGACTCTATGGCTAAAACCACTGCTAGTTATTTATGGGCATTTATAAGATGAGCATGGCTTTAAAATACATTGGTTACCAGGGTGAATTTCACAAAAATATAACATTTTAACATTTCACTACTAAATAAATAGAAATAATTTATATTTTCTTTTCTGTATTTCATAAAGAAATTTTTATTTAAAAAAATATTGAATTATTTTTTTGACAGTAAAAATTAATAAATAAATAACCACAGTATTATGTAAATTTGTATAAATGCAGAACAACTGTCAAAATGTCCCTCAAAATATTAAAACGACCCCACTTAGTTTCCATGGAAACCGAACTGTCAAAAAAAAAAGAAAGGAAACGAAACGAGGACTACAAATAGGCTCAGCTGGACTAGCTTTGAGACAAAATATCCCTTTATTGTTTTACACGCTTTGTGTCCAAATAAAACCGCCCAGAAAACAATATCCGTTTTCTTGTCGAGGAAGACAACGGACATTCCAAAGCTAACAATAGGCTCTTTAGAACTACGTTTCCCGACAGCCTCTACGCCGGCACGTCGTTGACGTCACAATAAGTATATATGGGTCCCGTGCGGCATTCCTTACTCTATTGTTACATTGTAACAAACCGGGGCAGAAGAGAGGCCCATAGGGTCCTCGGGCCGACAGATACTACAACTCATTTTTTGTTTTTTCTTTCCTTCGAGGTGGAAATATAACGTTGCGATTTGTCTAAACATAGCGCAGAGCACAACCACCTATCCGGAGGGAAAAAACCCCCGAAGCTCGGCTCTATTTGGTCTTTTTGAATGCTGGCATTTTAAAGGATCACCTAGAGATTTTATCTGCATGTATTGGATGCATCCACGCCGGGATTTTACATTTCTAGTGAATGAGGTTCTTGTCTGTCTTCGTCTGCCCCGGTTTTAATCTTTACAGAGCTTGATTGCAACGTTAAATGCTCGCATAGGCTTCTTGAAACACAGACCCCCATTTATAGACCATGTCAAGACTAATGTCCATTGTTTACGATGCTTAATTTTTCGTGAATAAACTGCTATTTCCTCATTGGTCTGGCCATTTCGATGGGCTGAAGTCGCTTTTGTCTGTCATTTTGTAACCTTGTGGAAGTCTAAAGCTGAAATAGGCTCTAAATCCCCCCCAAAAAGAGAACCATCCAAATAAAGGAAGCACGGAACGAGCGACAGCTTCGCCGGTTTAAAGGCTCTCTATTTCTGCCCAAGGTAAGTCTATGAGAGAGGTTTTGTGTTTCACTTTTGCCCGTCTTTTCCCTTGCAGCCAAGCCTACGAAGAAAAACGAGGAAAATGGGTTGATCATTGGACCGGTTGCAAAACAGCATGCCATTTTCTGCTCTGTCATAATACCTTCTGTCTGTCTTTTCCAGTAAAAAATAATGGGACAGATAATTATGTGATGTGTCATCTCAGTCATATTGGATCACTATGGCAAGTTGTTTTAACATTTAGGCCTAAACTGTCTGTTTCAGTAGCACTTAATAGATCCTAGTAGTATTACTAGTACTGTTTTATACTCTTTATCTACCACTAGCAATAATACAGGTCTGGTAATTTTAAATTTTTTTTTTTTTTTTTGCCATTTTGTTCCATAGAAAACTATTTACCCCAGACTAGTGATCTAATAGCCTAGATGTGTTGATGGTACCTATTAATTTAGTAGGCCTACTTCTTTCTAAATGACTAGTATCTATACCAGATTTACTAGTAGGCTACTTATTTGTTTGACATGCTACTAATACCTATCCCAATTGTTACTAGTAACATTTCTTATCTGACACTAGTTACAATTGCTTTTTGGTTAGTCAACCTCTAGTTAGATGCAGAACTAGTAGGATGCAGCTAGAATTAATTGTAATACACACTCATGTCTAATAAACATGTTCTACATGGAATGGATGCTAACTATGTGGTTATGTGCTAGTACAATTAATGTATGGACTATACCGCAGTCATATTTTACAATACAGTGTTCATATTGCTGGACGATTACATATTTTGTAATATATGTGCAATTAATTACTAAAATAATTAACTACTAACATGGACAATGTAGTGTAAAGTGTGATGTCATATAATAAATCTTCCACTTTCTGTACTGGTAGACCTCTTTAAAAAACCCAGCTGCTGTGTGTGCTTGGAAGTGGTGCATGGAAGCATTCACGGAATGGGAATAATGTTTGCATTTTAAGAAACTGCAGTGTCACCTGCAGAGTTTGTAAGACGTGACGTTTATGTGTCATGTCTAGGATGGGCTATTTTAGTGCAGAACAGTCAAACAGATTGTAAGGTGATTATTCATGCTTTCTGTCCACCTCAAATAGGCCACAGGATGTGTTTTAGGAGCTCTGTATATTCTAGCTTTTCAGTTGCATCCCTTCTTTTAAATGACCCATGCTGCATTCAGAAACTATAGTTTGCCTAAATCCACCTTTTTCTTAAGTTACTGGCATCATACTTTTATCATACGTCATATTTTCTTTTCTGCTATTTTTCCAGAGATGGAGGTATGGCATTGAAATTGTAACCGCATATCTCCCTGCGGACATCTCTGGGATATGCAAACTATGCATGATGTCCGTTTGTCACTTATTCGAAGTGCAATGGGTTACACAGTTGTTGGATGATGCCCATCCATTTTCCTCCATGGTAAAAGTGTCTTTCCGCTTGCCAATGATCATAACTCACAGTTGAGAACTAATTACTCCTTTACATCTAAAACTAAGCACCGAAATTAACATTTTGAACCGATTATTCTTTATATTTGAAAGCCAATAACCCATATATTGGCCGATAAATCTAAATCCAAATTTGTATATCATTTGAGAGCCTGATTACAAAAGTCTTACCATGTCTCAAAATTATAATGTTCTCATTATCTTATTTAGCCTATATGACAGAATTGTGCTGTTCATGTTGCACTTAACTGTATTTTCCTTTTTTTGAAGTGATTTCAATCATATTTCATGCAATTAAAAAAGAAATCATGGTGGACAGTGCACATATGAAGTGTCTCAGCTGAAGGAAATCCATTATTTGATTTGATATATCGGTCAAATCTTATTATCAGGCCGATAATGATAACATCAAAAATGAACATATCGGCCAGTGCCGATATATCATCCATCTAAAACTGTTTTACAGTGATGTAACCTGGGTTTAGTGCCCATTTGTTCCAGTTTGTTGCATATCTGACTAGTTTTAATACCTGATGTAGTCTTGGGTTGCAAGATCAATGCTTTTCAAATGAATATTATTGGATTAATATTGCCCAGTGTTGTAGTCGAGACCACCTCACTCGAGTCCGAGTCGACACCGAGACCAGAGAGAGTTGAGTCCGAGTCCATAGAGAGTCGAGTCTGAGTCGAGTCCGAGACCAGAGACGGTCGAGTCCGAGTCGAGACCGAGACCAGTGAGGGTTGATTACCTAATTTACTTTTATTTACTTAGAGAAATCCTTTTTTTTTTTTTTTTTTACTGAATTTACTTAGAGTTTAAAAAATATGATCAGTTTAGGGTAAAAAGGCCACATAGTAGGTGGTGTTAAAAGTAATTTTATTACCATTTTGTCATGCGCAGTTGCGCACTAGTTAAATCACCAATCACTGGGCGTGTCAATCAATTTAAAGAAATATTTTATTAACATACATTAATAATCGTGAAAAATATTTTTAATTGAACTCGAGTGGACTCGGGAATAATTCCGAGTCCTAAAAAAAAAATGTTCGAGTACGAGTCAATTCTGAGTCCAAATGGACACGAGTCCATGACAAGACCAAGACCATTAAAATATGGTCTCGAGACCGAGTCCGAGACGAGTCCGAGTCTCGAGTACTACAACACTGATATTGCCATCCTTGTACCATCCAGCTCAGCTGTTTATTTATTTATTTAGGGTTTAAATGCATATAATCTACCTAAACATCTCAAGCAATTTGTGAATCAGGCAAATGGTGATGAATGACTTTTCTATGCACGTGTGGTGCCATTGCAAAGCTTTCCTTTGTCACTGCCTTGCTTTACCCAATGTATATGTTAAAACATATGCTTTTAAGAGACTGAGTGGACACGATGGTGTCTTAGTAGTGTATGTTAGACTGAGTTTGGCTTTGAGTCTGAAGAGAAATCTTGGCATGCTTCATTGAATCCACAGTAATTGGCAGACGTACTGCATTATTTGCTAGCAGCTTACTTGTAGATCACCACAGATTTTCTGTGCATTCACCGCATCACCACGGTAGCATTAATTATAAAAGCAACACATGAAAGGGGGGAAACAAGAAATGCTAAACGAGCAAAAATGGACTCGTTTAGCATTTCTTGTTTCTATGGAGACGGTTCATTCATGAGCAGCGCACTGTGTGTCTAACACTGATGCATAAAGCAGCATTTATTCAATCCTGTTGTTTGTTGCAGCTGTTTTTGATGTTTCAAGGTCTTAACGCGTTATTTACCAGCGATAAGGTGGCAGATGTTGGCACGCCACGTACTTGATCTTGTATGTGAATTCAAGGCTACCAGGCCTGATTATTATATTACATTATAAAAATGATTCATATGCCCAAGCTGAGTCAGGCTAATGTTATTTCCTTCATAATCAAAATGAATAAAACTAATCCAGTTTGTATGGATTTCACAAATCTGTGTGGGATTAAATCCATTAGGCTGTGATTTTAATTGTCAGTCCTAATTCTTAAGTCATCCCCTTCATATGGAAAAAGCTGACCTTCCTTCAAAGCCACCGCCAAACTGTTCTCATTCAAGCCAGTAAAAAGCCACCGACTGTTTAAAAATAGTGTTTAATCATGAAGAAAATCAGGCATGGAGCCGCTCAAAGCAGTTGTATTACACAGCTCCCTCGGGCTAAGAGAGGTGGTCTGATCAAACGTCCCAACTCGGCCTTGTGTGACCTCACTGGTTTGACTGAACTGGTTTTGTTATCAGCTTGCAAAGGCTTGTTGTTTTTAAGGTTCTATCGGTTTTAATGGAAGTGAAAAGACCCAAAACTTGGATGCAGTTTTTCCATGGCTATTGCTTTAAACCAGTTACCATGGTGATGTTTGCTGGCTTCATGATTTTTAAGCAGGACTTTCATACTGGATGGAGAAAGAGAAAGCCAAGGATTAGGTAGCAAAAGAGGTGATGTTGCATAATCTACTAGATTGTTGTATGCAGCCTTTTTTGGGTGCATTGTATTTTACTTGAAAACAGGGAACAATAGGTCATCATTGGGATCATAATCTCAAATCAAAGTACGTTTCCAACATCTAAATATACAATATCACACTTTCTTCAATGGTGTATGTACATTACCTATTTTTCCCAATACTTGTTACATTTTTCTAAACTAAGCCTTAAAATAAATGTCTCTCTCCAATGCAATTTATTTATTTTACAATTCCTAGCCTCTGGTCCCTTGTTGGAGGGTCTACCTGCTACAACCATATTTATCTCCTGCTGTTTGCTAAAGGGTTCGTTCACCCAAAAAGGAAATTTCTGTCTATAATTACTCACTCTCATGTCGTTCCAAACCTGGAAGACTTTCATTCATCTTCGGAATACAAATGAAGATCTTTGTAGGGAGTTTGGATGGAAGTGTGAATGCTTATTGGAGATTAGTATTTTGCGTAACAAGCACTCATAAAATTAAGGTTAAACCACTGGAGTCACATGGTTTACTTTAATGATCTCTTGGAGGGACAGAAAGCTCTCAGATTTCATTCAAAAGATCTTCATTTGTGTTTCGAAGATGAATGAAGTCTTACAGGTTTGGATTGACATAAGGGTGAGTTATTAATGACATATTTTACATTTGTGGGCGAACTAACACTATATTAAGTATTTATCCTTGTCTAAAACAGTTTTGGGTATTTTCCCTAAATATAATGTAATGAATAGGATTTGCTCACACATAAATCTGTCTTTTTTCCTCATGTTATTTGAGAGTCAGAAAACCTTTTTCCCATTTTTGTTTAATGTATTTTGATGAATGGTTCTCGTATTCTTACATCCATATAATCTCGAAACAAGCTTTTTGTTATCCTATAATGAATATGCATTTGAAAACAAACTATACTTCAAACTTACAGGTATCTATAGAAATCCTGCTTTTCTAGTCCAAATGTGTCTAAAATGACCGGATAATCTGTTGTTTTCCATTGGAGATGACCTAACAGTACGCAGTGCCTCTCCAAACTCACTGTTTAAATCTTTCATTGCAATTTTGTTATATTTGGCTGCTGTGACCTCCAGAATGAGGTATTTTTATTCAGCATTGCAGCTGTTGATTAATCTGTTACTGGTCACGTTTCACATCATTTTAAATTATTTTAAAATATATTTTTTAAATTATTATTATTTAGTAAACTTTTAGAAAAATAACAGTTTTGCTGGTCACGTTTCACATCATTTTAAATTATTTAATTTTTAAAAAAATTATTATTATTTAGTAAACTTTTAGAAAAATAACAGTTTTGCTGGTCACGTTTCACATCATTTTAAATTATTTTAATATTTATTCTTTAATTGTTATTATTAAGTAAACTTTTAGAAAAATAACAGTTTTGCTGGTCACGTTTCACATCATTTTAAATTATTTTAATATATTTTTTTTAATTATTATTATTTAGTAAACTTTTAGAAAAATAACAGTTTTGCTTTAAAAATATTATAGTTTAATAAAAGTAAAACTAAAAAATGTATAATATATAACATTTATATATTTTTATAAGCTTTTAGGATATTCACCAAGTTGATTCACAGAAAATTGTCCCTTGGGACAGGACTGTGTAGATTTTCAAACAGAAATGAGATGAAATGACAAAAGTACAATATATATAATCCATCCAGTATTTTAGAATTTATATGAGAAAAAGTGCATTGAAAAGTTAGAAATGCTGCTCTTGCTTTTATACATATCCTGCTCTTTTGTCTGAATTTTGTGTTTGAATGTTTGAATTTTGCTAGCAATAGACTGTCAGTCTGTCTGACAAAGCTTGTACCTTTTTGCAATGCCTCCAGACGCAGTGTTTCCATGGAGACAGTGTCATCTCGCGGCCTGAAGCGCAGATTTGAGGAGGTGGACAGCGGCTCGCCGTGTTCCACACCCAAAGATTCAGATGATGACATCTCCAGCAGTGACAGCGCTGACAGCTGCGACAGTCTCAATGCTCCCTCCAGCTCTCTAACACGTAAGAACACACAAGTTAGTCTTAGGCCTTCATTATTATAGCAACAACCTGAATATAAGTCTTGAAAGAGCTCAAACTATTTCAATGCGGTTTGTTTTGTTCTTCGCCCCTGAGCTTCTTTCAGACATCATTTGCACTATTTGCATTTTGGCACAATATTTGGTTGAGTACCAAAGCTATAGACCATTTGGCAAGATGTAAACAACACTGGTCCAGAAGCACTTCCTGTTTCAGTTTTTTGACACTACACAAAAGCTGGGATAAAATACAACCAAAAGACCATGTAAAACTGAATCAAAAAGTTAACCAACATCTTTAAGAAGTTTTCTTTACATGTGAAATAAAGAAAACAGTTACAAACTGAACCAGGAAGTGTTTCTGGACCAGTGTTGTTTACATCTAGCAAAATGGTCTATATATAGACCGTAACATTATTGTTTACACTTTCTCTTTATTTTGTTTCTCTAGCCCCCTCCATTCTCAGAAGACACAAAGTGTCTTTAGGTCGTAAGCAGGTACGCTTTGATGCGGTGACGGTCTACTACTTCTCCAGAAGGCAGGGCTTCACCAGTGTGCCCAGTCAGGGTGGCAGTTCCCTGGGCATGGCGCGCCATCACTGCGCTATACGACATTACACCCTTGGCGAGTTTGCACGAGAACAAGAGAGCAGCCACAAGCATGTGCTGCGTCAACACCTACGCCAAGAAAAGCTCAATGCTCGCAAGTTAAAGGTTAGTTGTGTGTGGTTGTAGCTCCTGTTGCTCATACACGATTCTGCTTTTGCAGTAGGGCATTTTAAGAACTCTTTTACCTGACTTTTCCCAGCTGACACGGAATGGAACTGTAGATTGTCCTGAAGCGGAGTTGCTTACCCTGGACGACATATCCGATGAGGATCTGGACGTTGAGAGTGTGGAGGTGGACGATTGCTTCTTCCTGCAGCCTCTTCCTACCAAGCGGCGCCGGGCACTATTGAGGGCCTCAGGTATTGCCCGTATAGATGCCAGAGAAAAGGCTGATCTGCGTGCCATACGTTTGTCCCGGGAGGAGTGTGGTTGTGACTGCCGCTTCTACTGTGATCCTCGGCACTGCGGCTGCAGCCAGGCTGGAATTAAGTGCCAGGTAGGGCACTTGGTAGTCTCGAAAGTACTTTTTACTATTAACCCTCTGGGGTTGTTCGGCCCAAATGGACCCGAAGAATTTAAATAATTTTTTTTTTTTAAATCACAGCTTCCTTGGAATGATCCGAAATTTGGTGACTTTTCCGAAATTTCCGAATTTTGAAAAATTTCGAAATTTCCAAATGGACCCGCATGGAAAATGTGAAAATACTGAGTTGTTTTGTGCGTACAATCTACAAATCAGCCACAATCTTGAAAAAAAAGCACACAACAGTGAAGGGGTGAATCTATAAAACATAAAGAGTACAAAACAGACACATCCAGATACACACACACACACCAAAAAATTCAGGTTATACATGTGTTTTGCATTTTTAAAATGCTCAGTTTGTCCACCAGATTGCATCAATCTCATTTCTAAAATTGCTTTTATGAGGCCTAGGCTTGACTCTAAAATGAAACACAGCTTTAAAAAAAAAAAAATATATATATATATATTTTTAAATATTTTTTCTATTGTGTTCAATGGGGGGAAATTTTCTCATAATTATTGCATTAATACTAATTATTTTTTAAAATATTTTTTAAATTATTTTTTTTATTTTTGACATTTTCTCAAAACACCAAAAAAGAAAAGAAAAAATATTGTAAAAAACGAGTAAAAAAAAAATCATGATATATTTTTTTTTAAATATGAATCCCGCCCTTTGGGTCCATTTGGACCCGAACACCCCGAGTGTGACTCTGAAACGAACAACCCCAGAGGGTTAAGTAGTGTCCACTTAGCCCAAGGGTGTGCTTTCCTGCTCCTGGAGGTCCACCCTACTGCAGAATTTAACTCCAGTACACCTGTCGGAAAATGTTTCTAGTGAGCTTTAGGACCTTGTTTAACTGGGGCTGGAGCTAAACTCTGCTGGAAGGTGCCCCTCTTGGAATTGGATTGGAAACCCCTGATTTGGACTATTCAAATAAAAGGCTATCATTTAATATCAGAAAAAAAATCATGCTCTTTCTTCTGTACCTTGTTCCAAAGGTGGATCGGATGTCCTTCCCATGTGGCTGCACCCGCGATGGTTGTGGTAACACCGCCGGCCGCATTGAGTTCAACCCTCTTCGTGTGCGTACCCATTATCTCCACACTGTCATGAAACTCGACCTGGAAAAGAGAATCCTGTTGGGTGTCAGGTCTGGAGAGGACTGTGGGGAAGAGACAGAGTTAGTCTCCTCGCCCTCTCTGTCTCTTTCTCCCTTGGACTCGGATGTGGAAAGCCAAAGTGTTCAAGAGGAGCAGTGCGACAGCCTGGAGCGCGAGAACGAAACGGCCGTGCTTCACCTGCAAAGTGCAGAGGAACGAGAAAGGAGGCTGGAACAAGAGGAGCAGCAGGTCGAGGAAGAGCAGAACGCCGACCCAACCCTTTGCCTCCTGCAGGGTGCCCTGTCCAGTCAGGCTGGGATGGCGGGCATGGAAGATGTTGAGGGAGTCCTTCTAGAGGGGCCTTTTCCTGAAGGTGCCACCCTGTTGTGTATTACAGAAAACCATCCAGATGAACAGACCCAGCAGAGGTTGCTCAAAGACCCTTCTTCTGTCCTCTACTATCAGGTAGGCCACGTAGAGACGGCAGCCTTTGAGACGCTCCCAGCTAAAGTAGAAGAGGCGGCGAGGGAAGGTGACGATCCAGAGACGAAGAGCGTTCAGCAAAAACAAGAAACCTGCGGGCAGGATTCGGCCAAGAGCTTGTCTGTCGAAGTACCTCCACCTTTCGAGGATGGTGGCGAAGAACATCTTTGCCCAAATGACGGGGAATGCCTCGAGACGTGCCTGGCGCTGGATGAAAAGGCAGTACAACTTCCTCCAGAAGTGTAGAGCCCATCACCTCTGCAGATGTTTTGCACAAGTTAGTCATTGAATTCAAAGAGAGCCTACTCCACACAGTGCGATATCTTACAATTCTGCATAATGTTATTCAATGTTAATGAAACATGTTACCTTCATGGGTTTGTATCCATTTTAGCTGGAGATAAGCATGTACTGTGTTTGAAGTAGGTTGTCTGTGGTGAAAATGAGTAATTAAAAAGAAAAAAAAATAGAATAATTTATTTACGAAAAAAAGAAACTCAAGAAGAGCAGAGATCCTGATCTGAACAAGTGTTGTTTTTTCCAATATGGTATCGGTTCATTACTTGATACTGGTGGGGAAATGTGGCCTTTATGTCGAGGAGCAAGCATTTTCAGGATTATCCAGCGGCTTCTTATGGCCTTCTAGTTTGTATAGTTTCCAATAGCGCACCCCGACAACTAATTGGCACTGACCAGAGGGTATATACTAACGTTAAGTTCACGTTTCGTCAGAATTACTGCAGTTATGAGACAACTCTGAGCTGGTCATATACTCCGACTCAGTTCTATAGCAATTCTCATAACGCCAAAATGTATCCATGCATCCTTTGTTGCTTATGACGGAAAAACCTCTTCTTTAACTTGGAATTGAATGCACTTAGAAGAGTTTTAATCAAATTCAGAGGTTCCAGCCTTAGAATTACACAAGTTCCTCATTAAAACAATGGGTTTATAATTCTGCCAGGGCGTGAATGCAACATTAGTATGCTAATGGCTAATGCTAACGCAGTGCTAATGCTAAGAGAAGGGGTTGCTAATTTTTGATGAGGCTGCTGTTTGTAGCATCCTTCCTGTGAATAGACCCAACAATCCTGGAAATACTTGGTTTTCATCATGTACTGTACAAGTGTTTTGCTAAGAGCTAGCATGAAGATGAGTGAAAAAGCTGCTTGTTCTCTGTATGCACGTTGAAAACTTGATTCGTTTGAACTTGCTGACGGGGATCAGGAGGATAAATGAATGTGCAAGCCATTTGCACAGCAGTTCTTTACTGAATTATCGTAGTCTTGACCTTACACCGTTTGAAGCTGTAGCCTATCGTCCCAGTTCGTGGACATTTATTTATTTACCACCGCTTTGTATTGTGAGGGCGAGGACAATGTGTTTAATGTTTGAGTACTGTCACCTACAATCAACTTTTTTTTTTCTTTTTTTTTTTTGTCATTTTTCAGGAGTGAATGAGATCATACACATTTATTGCACATCAAGCCTTTATAAATTACAGAAGAGATTCTAGCTGTAATTTTACTTCAGGTAGAAAGTAAAAATATTGAGTTTTATGTATGGGTGAATATCATAAAACCATGTCCAGGTCACATTTTACTCGAAAATCTAAATAATAAATAAAAAACAAGACATTTTACATAACTAAATAAAGCCTTTTTTAGAATCATAAAGATATTTTGTGACAGTTCAGCACATTTTCCCTCCAAATTCCATTACTGTAGTGCATCCACGTTTTTTTTTTATTTTGTTTATTACTCTCAAATGGTTAATCTCATACTTTAATATAGTAATCGAATTACTTTACAGTAATGAGAAGTTTGGGTGCAAATGTGATAACGCCAACAAAACTTTATGGTATTAAAATTTGGCTTTACTTTCTATTTTAAATATGTAATTGCTTATTTTCTTTTGCACTGAAATATGACTCATGACATGATGTGTTCAACCTTTAAAACAAGTACTCAAAATCTAAAACTCAAAATGTAAACCTTTATGTACTGTATGACAAGTCAAGGAAGACTTTGAGGTCTATATTGTAATGTTAACTTACACATGTGACTCAGTTTGTCACACTAGGCCACAGTTTTATATAGTCCTCCTGAAACATTACAAGTTAGATTTATTATAATTTTCTGTCAACAGTGCACATCATTGTAAACGTCCAAACCCTCATTTTAACCCTGTGAAGACCATCCTCCTCGTCCTTTTTACCCTTTTTGCTGTTCTTCCCTTTTGCATTTTTAGTGTCCGTCCCTCCCACATACCTCTTGTTTTAGAATATGAATAATGAAGACTTTACCTAGATGCTTTCGGTTAGTTGTTTTAGTTCACTCCTGTTTAATGATAGTTAAAGACAAAGTAATAATTTGAATGGTTATATGAAAAGAAAAAATGGTGTCTTCAAATAGTATAATGAGTTCTGTGATGTTGCTAAATTATTTAAAAAAAACCCAAGAAAATGGTCATCTTGCCGTGTGTATGTGTTTGTATGTGTGCCAGAAAGATTCTTGCTGATTTGAGTGATGAACCAATGTTTGTGAGTGCAGTATTGGTTCTTAATATTTCAAAAGGTGCTCTTATGTTAGTTCTCTCACATTCATAGTAACACTAGCCTATATGTAGAGAGTGAAAAAAAGAAATGTTAAAAATCCACATATTGTTGGTTGTAAATGCAAAATGTTGCCGTTATCTCTCTGCTTCTTATTTACTCACTCTTACATGTCATGGGTAAAGGAGGATGCTTTATTATGTGATTACATTAGCTAAATGGAGCATGTGAGGCTAATAATGAAATTGTTAGCATGGTTGCTCCCTCATATGATGTAATGCTCCAAGCATAAAGCTTGATTCAAACCTAAACCTGCAATAATTATGTTTTGCAAATGACCAATCAAACAAGAAGGATTTTTGTTTTGTTTTATACTGTTGCTGTTTATAAAAAAAAAATTCTTACTTTGTTTTTGCCTTGTTGTATGTTAGCATGTCGTTTCGTCTCAGTTTACTGAATTATCTTAATGTACTGGCTCTCTTTTTTTGTGGGTTTGCCAACACACATTCCTGCACTCAAAGTTTTGTCTGTATTGTCTGAACTAGAATCTGACGTATCCTTAAAAATGGTGGCATAGGGGCCTGCTATTGACCAAAACATGGTAGATGGAAGTCAGTCTTCGTTTTTGTTCATGTTTTTGACATTTGAACATTCGCCAGTCTAGTGGTCTAAAACCTAATGGCTTTAAAAAGGAGAGTTGAATGTTGCACATGCTAATGTACCTGTAACTAAAATGCTAAGCATCTTTTTGTTTTGTCAGATATATTTTTTGTTTTCCTCCTTTTTTAAGTACTCAGATTAGAGACCACTACAGTAACTGAAAACTAACTTTCATTATGATGTGTGTGTGTGTGTGTGTGTGTGTGTGTGTGTGTTAGAGGTGCTTTATTAATAAGGCTGAATGGATTTGAATTCTACACTGTAAGAGTGACTTATGCTAACTGTTGCCTACAGAGGAGACAAAACATACAAAGTTTTATATGAAAATGTGAGTGAAATAAAATCTAAAATGAAGAAAACAACTGTTGTCCTGTCCATCTTCAATGTGAAAGCTTATGAGTTGTGTGAGATCTAAATTATAAGTATTATAAGGGTATCACATAGCCTGTTACCTTTACAAGAATGCAGTATCAGTACAAACTGATAATAATTACTGATGTGCCTCAGTTTGTAGGTGTGTTCCATTCGACCGTAAGTGGACTGCGAAGTGGACTTCACAGGGTATTTCGCCATCTGTGAGATTCCAATCAGAAGGGAACGAACATGTTCAGTTCGAAGGGCACTGCAAAGGCATAGGGAAAAAGGGAACATCGATACATCACTTCACAGGAAGTCAGGAGTAGGGAGCAGTGAACACTTGTGTAGGGACCCTGTCGATTGGAACGCACCTGTGTTTCTCATTCACCTCAGTATACGGTAGGCTATATGCTTTTTTATATTTGAGGCTATTCAATTTAAAACATTAGTGAAAACAATATTCAACATATTTTGATCGCAAATCTAAGTTAACTCCTACTTGCACGTGTTGAGAGACAATGATTTGAGGGAACGAGTTTCTTCAAATGTTGTTGGGGAATTCAATTAGCATTTAGCATTAGCACAAAGCTTTCCGTTCCACTAGAGAGCGACACTGTCCTATAAATGGGGCAAATCTAAGCAAGATGCAGGATGCAAATGTTTAGTTAGCGGGCTTCCATCCAGGGAAAACCTGCCGGTTTTTTCTCTCTTTCTCAGACATAAACTTTATGCTGCATGAGGGGATGAAATTTTCTGTCTTGTTCACTGTTTGCCCTTGTTCTTTGCTACTGAACCAAAAACAATCCACTGTAGATATGGAAAATCTATGTGCAAATCAACTGCAGACTAGTTAAAAAGTTAATTTATTTCAGTAATTCAACTTAAAAGGTGAAACTAATATATTATATAGACGCACTACATGCAAAGTTAGATATTTCAAGCCTTTACTTTTTATGATTTTGATGATTATGGCTTACATCTTATGAAAACCCCAAATTCAAAATGAGAATATTGTGAAATGTTTTCATAGCTAAGCCATAATGTATCTCACTTTGCATGTAATGAGTCCATATAATATTACTGTATATTATAATAAAGTTGAATTACTGAAATAAATGAACTTTTGCAAGATTAATTTTCGAATAAATTTAGAATTTTTCGAGTTTCACCTGTGTTTTATATGCTGTAGGCCTAGCATAGTGGTGAATTTGAGACAAACACCTTATTGTTTGCAGTCATATTCAGTGTATTCACACATGCCGACTGTCTAAGCAGCCCGTCTTTCACCTTTCTTACGTTCAGTCATTTATTACGTTAACGTTCACACATCACACAGAACTGTTTTTGGTTAGAGAATGTGAGTAATGATGATAACACCACTGACATGCTGTGAAACCATGCAGTGCTTTCAATAAACACATGAACGTCCCCAATGTTCCACACTGTCATTCAGAATGAAAGAGGAAGGGATGGCCTAAGGAAAGTTCCTGACATCCTGTTGAAGAATTGCATCTGGGGAAAGACTAGGGCTGAATATACCAAAAGCATTGTAGCCTAAGCCTAAGTAAATCATAGAATCATCACCATCAATAGTCTCTATGATCAACTTAGCTCATGGTGCTTTTGAAAAATGAAGCCCAGGGTTATGTTCAAATTGTTTTAATTGTATCATTTAATTTGAGCAAAGGGAGTCATTAAGCCAGTGTCCTTTAATCATACAAATTTAATTTATATCTGTATTTTATCTGTTTTGAGAACAGCTAATACAATTGCAACCATCTTTTCAACATCACTTCATCATACCTTGCCTAGAGAACAATGAAATGTTCCTGTATCCCCTGAATGGGAGGAAACAGCTTGGTGGGTACAGTGACCAAATGCCTCTTTGTCTGCATTCTCTTCCTGTATGCTTTAGCAGTGGAAAACAACATTACTGCACAAAGCCTAAAATGATTCAATGTGTCCCCAGCTACTGATAGGCCTGTTTGCTTTTCACTTATGATTGAAATACATCTGTATTTGAACGACACATACATCTATATATTAAACACTGGCTCAATTGTGCTCTTTTTTGCAAAAAAAAAAAAAAAATTATAGCTATTAAAATTTTCAGTCAGTATTCATGACCTATCATAGCACAGAAAGTGTGCTCGTTAAATTCAAAATTAAATTTACTTCTGTCCAAGGCTGTATCTCAATACTAGTTTTTGTTGATCTTAGTGCTGCGTTAGTCACTACAGATTGCGACAAACTATTAGTTCGATTGCAAAATTACACTGGTATTTAGGACAGGCATTACGGTTTAGATTGTCTCTGTTACCATTTTGTTTATTTAAACAGGGAATTATCCAAGTTAGTCAGTAAAAGGAAACATCAGTAAATTATGGAGTACCACAGGGGTCTGTTTTAGGCCCTCTGCTATTTTCTACACAATAACTTTTTTATATACACACATGCTGGTAATATTATTATAAAAGATGGAATTACCTCACTGATATGCTGATGATACTCAGTTATATATTTCATCATGACCAGATTAAATTATTATTACTTATTGGCCCTTAAATGCCTTTATCCCCCTACAAAACTCTGGACATTTGGTTGTACTGTATTGTCTTGGAAGAACTATACATTTATGATATATGGACACATACTTTGACACAGTCACCTCTGATAATAGATTACTCTAAATTGTAAAGCAGAAACATGCATTTTCTGTAAAGCTGCTTTGAAATGATATGTACAGTTAAAGGCGCTATTCAAATAAATGTGAACATAATTGAGTTTCATTCTGAAGGAATACAAGGAAATTCTTGTCTATGTTTTTTGAAGCTTTTTTTGATCAATTTAAGTTATAAAATATACATATTTTGCTGCATGCATGACAAAAGTCAGCATTACAGGATCTGAGCAATAATCAGAACGCATTAAGGGAGATTTGTCAGTCATCCATCACTTCCCGTCTCGGCTTCGCCATTGTGTCGTGCTTCCAAAAGCCGGAAGAGCCAAAGGAATGCAGATAAAGTGTAAAAAACCAATGACTTTGCAATACAATGTAATTGTAAGGAAATGCCAAAGTGTTGACATGTATTTGCTGAATAACAGTCCTTGTCTGATCACATTTACTGGGAAATTGGGAAACTGGGAATTTTTTTTATGAATATAATTAGATTTTTTTTATGGTTTTGCTTTCTGTGACATTACTGTTTATCTTTTTCTGCCTTTTAAGTCATTTTCTACTTTTCTTGTTTAAAAAGATTACTAAAAAACTCTCAACACAAACCAAAACAAAACAGGCCAATCAGAAAATTTTTGTTTAGTGGTGAAAGAGTAACTAAACACTTATCCAACTTTTTTTAGTTAATGATCGGTAAGAATGGATCTTTATTAATACCAGTCATTGATTCGAGTAACTTTTTTGACATTTGATTATAAAGAAAACCTCTTAGTGCTGCCCTCATCAGGTTGAACGGTGAGTACTGCAGTTGAATTTTCCTATTGGATGTTCCGCACTTCGTGACGTACCCAGGTTTCAGCTCACCACGCGAGCTACGCCCTTGGCAGTATAAAAACTATCTTGTGTCGTCAAAACCACTGTAGGGAGTCAGGAATTGGAATTGTGAGTATTGAAAACAATCAGGATAGAGTGTTTTAGCATCTATTTCGTCCCCTCTATCTCCGCTGGGGTCTGCCCACTTTTTCAGCATTTTCAAATAGTGCCAGTGGGTGGAGTCAGACTCTGACCAGGGGTTTAGTTACCCTTTAATATAAAGTTATGTGGAACATTTTGAACCATTGAGATTTCACTGTGTTTGACAGACTGTCATTCAAGTGACTGACTAAAATGATCTTTTATGTGCAAATTTTATCACACATTTGGAGTGAGCCAGGCCCTATAGCAACAAATTGCAGAGAAGGACAAAGTCAGGCGACGACTCAAAAGAAGCACAGACAGATGATACCCTTTCCACCTCAAAGCGCTTTGGTGACCATTGAACTTGTGATCGATAATTAATTTTTAGCTTGTCAAGTCACACTAATTGCAGTCAGATAGGCCTATACACTGAAAGCATCTTCAAAGAACAAGTCCAAATGGTTCGAGACGACCAACTGTTTTAAAGCTTTCTAAGAACAGCCATGCAACAGCAATGCATGTACACCCACCTAAAGGATTATTAGGAACACCTGTTCAAGTTCTCATTAATACAATTATCTAATCAACATTAAAAAACAAATGCCTTGTTGATGCTAGAGGTCAGAGGAGAATGGGCTGACTGATTCAAGATGATAGAAGAGCAACTTTGACTGAAATAACCACTCGTTACAACCGAGGTATGCAGCAAAGCATTCGTGAACTTAAGCCACAACACGCACAGCCATTAGAGCTTCCGAAAGTCTGATGATCCACAATAATTTCCTTCATAACTGCAACAATCCGAGGGAATTCTGTACCTCTTACAAAGGGAATGATACAACATCTCGCATTGACTCCAGTCAGTGCACTCCAACATCCACATTCAGACTAGATTTAACACCTCCCTCTGGAACACAGTGAATGGAGGAAAACTTAACATGTGAGGAGAGAAGTAGAGCTGTAAAAATGTGACTCAAGAATGATGGAAAGGTACTTTTTACCATTTTATGCACTTGTAAAATGAACGAGCAAATTGAGAACTTGGCAGAAAGAGGCTGGCTGACAAATGGAAAGATTCTTGCAGAAAAATACTTGTTGGTGATTTTCCTGTTTAGCTTTAAACTTCTCTAGTGTTAAGAATTTGTCCTGATTTCAATGACGAGAAATGGTTTTTAATAGCTTCATTCATTTTTATTTTTAGTTAAGAATGGCAAAACTGGCTAAAGCGAGAATCATTGTTACAATTGCTCATACTTTGCATAGTAAACATACCGTAGTAAACTTCATCATGTGTCACACTTTAAGTGCTTCAGATGTGAATGATAACTCAAATCATGACATGTATTGAGAAGAAGTGATCAGACTTTTAACTTTTATTTCAGCCCGTTCTCATCCCAAGGCGTCATATACTGATGCTTTTGTCAATGCGTATACATCCAACGCACATGGCACCCTTTAGCGTCAATATGAGATGCAGATATGGGCGCCTCCTAGTGGTCTAACCCTAACCCTACCCCAGACCTAAACCTACCATAACCGAAGCGTGTTATATTGACGCAAAAGGGTTCCATGTGCGTTGGATGTATACGCATTGGCAAAAGCATCAGTATATGATGCCTTGGGATGAGAATGCGTTATTTACCTGGCAGACATGCATTAAAGGAGGGTCTTAAGCCATATTTAGAGACAAAATATTCTTTAACCAGTCAATAACCACCTAACCATCCAGAAATCCCTAGCAACCTCATAGCAACATGGTATCAACCCACATAGTTTAAAACCACGTAAAACAGCCTATAGCATCATAGCCAGAGTTGCACACACATTATCATTGTAAATTTTACAAATAAGTTTGTCTGTGTCATGATTTAAGTTTGCAGTCACATCAAGCACCGCCTTATGTCACACTATTGTTTTAATCTCTGACAATAGAACATTTCTAAAATGACTAAATAAACTGATTTTAAGCCTCAAGATTAATTTGTATATAACTTGATAAGTGCATGCCTTTTCCAATTCAGTATTTTCTTGAGGAACTTAAAAAGTTTCATTCACAGGCAACGGAAACAACGTTCCAGTGAAGTAGCATAGGACCAACAAAGGAAAAAACACAAAGGCTACCATGACAGCTGGAAAAATAACGGTGAGTGGAGACATTTGTGCTGTTTGTACTTTGCACTGAACTGTGCTATAGTGACTCATTTTATAAACAGTTTAGCTGCTAACAACCACTTGTTGCTTTTGGTTATAGCAACATATTAACTGCTACTATTAACTGGATGTTAGAACTATAGTTCCTCTCAGTTTCTTAAATAGACTGTAATTAAATCACACCTAAAACCTCTAACTAAATTGAGAGTGTATTATTGTGCTGAAATATTGCCTCAGAAACTTAAGGCAGCTGTGAACGGAAGTTGTGGTTAGTCACATTTCCCTTTCTAAAGAAGATTTTATTTCTGTCGGAGCAACAGCAGATATTGTCCTGCTGTACTTCCTCATTTTGTAGGCAGGGGGAGATCTATGAATCACACGATCATGATCCACCCATATGATGTAAATTATGGATGACTTGGAGCAGTAAACCCTCTGAATGCCATGTCACAGAATGAGTTTCTGTCATATTATTGACAAAAATATGCATATCAAATCCCAATATACAATTGTTTGAAGACAATGATGTTACAGTATACACATTAACATTTTCTGTGCCCTATGATATGTTTGTAAGTTTCAGTAACAGAGGTACTAGAACCATACGAAATCAATTATGTAATATATTTGCAGGCGCACGGCCGTCGTGCAGGAAAATAAGAAAGGGACTTAACAAGAGCAGAACATGACAACATAGTCAATCTTTTCCAAGAGTATCCAGAAAACAGCTGCACATCAGCTGAAGAAAAGTTTCCTGAAAAGAAAATATGTCTATTGGAGTCATAATCTATTATTGAACAAATAAGTTTAAAATTCATTTAAAATGAAGCACATTTTCTTCCAAATACAAATTATTGTAATGCAAAACAAATACCATATTATAATTTGAAGAAAATAATAACATTGATTTTTTATTAAATGAAAAAATAATTGCATTATTAAATCTTCATATTATTTGTTTTAGCTACTGCATTTATGCTGATGTAAAAATAAAAGTTTTTTTTTTTACTGTATTACTTTTGAGAATTACAAATGTATGTATATATATATATATATATATATGAACATTTTGCTTGTCATTTAATATTAATAGAATATAATACATTTTCTTTGGATGAAATGTGATCTGGTTTCCTCAAATCTCGCAGACAATAGAGTGCAACAGTTGGGGTCCTAAAGTAAAAATTGCATTCATTTTCTCCATAGGGAAACGATAAGCTACAAACCTTTAAAGACTTTAAAGTTTATTAATCAATTATATTTGCTTCTGTTGAACCCGTCAGCCCAAATTATTTAAATTTTTTTTTGAACAGTGGAATTTGTGGTGAAAAACTACATTACCCATGATACTGAGCAAAAATTACACCAATCAGAGTCGGAAAAAAGCAAATGTAAATGTAACATTACTTTAGCTTCGCCTTTGTGAAAAGCACTGTGAAAAATGTAATATGTTGATGTATAATCGTTAGGCTTAGGGACGGGGTCAGGGGTAGGTCATTCGGACAACTCGCAAAAATCTTACTAATTCGTACGTATGAGGTCATATGAATTTGTATGACTTAGCCGCAGTGTAAATTCTTGTGTCAATTATACCTTGCTGGGAAGAGGCCTTCTATCGAATCCATTTCTCACTGGTAGGAAAAAAAAAATGTTGCCTCACATATCCATTTTCATCTTTATTCCCTGCCATCTCGTTCTTTGTAGTTTTTCACGAGTCTCAGTGCTCCCCATTGTTCTGACAACACTGATGTATAAACACTCGTGGCGATGGAGTGCCTTTTGAAAACAATACGGCTGTAATCTCCTCCAAATAGTTTTTACATTACCTAACAAATGACATCTTCACTTCCAAAGGAAATCAAAGAAGGTTGCACATTAAATTACACGTTAAAGGAAAATCGAACTCGCCTACACACATTTTTCATGAAAAGCTAATTATTTTTTTACATAAACCCCTTTTAATGTGGCTCTCATGAGACATATCAGGGTCAACTCACTCTGCTGTAGATTCCCAAACCCAGGAGGGATGTGCTGACATCATGCAGATGAATGATGAGATAGGTATCCTATGTAATTAGCTGGAGTATGGTGTAAGTCTTTATGGTGTGAGGGAGACCTCACGAGACACCATCAGACCCTCCCTAGCTGTGACTTGAAATCAAACTTTACCTTATTTACTTCTTAATGCAAGTTCCTTGTCTTAATTCTATGCCAGATAAAGTTGAAATGTTACGACAATAATATCAAATATATAGAAAAGGTCATGATGGTCTTAAGGGTGATCTTTCACCAAAATTAGTTGGAAAAGCCTCCTCAAAAGTGGGTGTTTGAGATGTTTCACACTGGAGGGAAAAAAGGATTTATTTGAGGGAAAAAAAGAAGAAGCTGGAAACAGTTTTGACTCAGAAATTGATAGTAAAATTAAGTATTTATGAAGTAAAGGCAACACACAATTATTGGTGGCCAATGGCCATAATTCCCAGGTTATGTTACTTACTCTTTGTTTGTAAAATTCGAATGCCGCTATAATTGTAATGCTAATACTTATCTTAAAAAAACAGATGCTGTCTTACATTTTTTAAGTAATACAATCAACTTGGTTAAGTAACTTCAACTTAAATTACATTAAATTGACTTAAAAAGGAGTTTAATCTTGTCAAAAAATGCTTAATTTTTTTTTAGTTTTTTAAAAACTAAAATGTTTTACAGTGTTTTTTTTATAGCCTTACTAATTATTTGTGAAGCATTAATAATGTGTTTTTAATACCTTAATCACTATAACCATCTAAATTTGGAGCCCGATCTCATGAAAGTTCGTATCTATAGCACAAATGTTATTTCTCGTGCCATTTATACGGCAAAAACTGATTTTGCGTGTATATGCTAAGCGTTTTTCGCATGCATATGATACGCACATTTTGGCGTATAATACGCACGAACTCCCACCCCCCTCCCCTCTAAACCTACCCCAGGGTTTTTTAGTGCGTAGCATATGCTCGCAAAAACATTTTTGCCGTATAAATGCCACGAGAAATGACATTCGTGGTATAGATACGCATTTTCATGAGACTGTGTTGAAATTTGACTAATCAAATTTGATTTGATTAATCAGTGCTCCCGTTCGTGACCCTGCGATGCAAAGCTCTTCCTCTTGGCCAAAGAAAAACAACAACATTTTAGATATTGTCAAACTTCCATACGTACAAATGTAAGAATAAATAAATAATACCTACAAAATAATAAGATTAGTTCCGAAACTTTTCTGGTCTATACCACCCACTTCTCATTGTCCAATCTGTATATAATAAAATACCTTCCTACATACAAAAATATGTCAATTAACGAAAATGGATTTTGAATTCCACGTCTTGTTGACTTTAAAAACATTTAAGGTTTCGACTCATTAGCTAAAGGCAAAGAATTACGATTAACTTTTGGCAGCAATGTCAAAGAAACTCACTGAACTCTTTTCCTGTGCTGATCTCCCAGCGTCCTGTCCTGCCGCAGGTGTGACCCTGTTTTCGGCAGAAACGTTTTGCATCACTGTCATGAGAGGACATCTGTTGCCTCTTCAGTGTACACATCAAATTAGCTCAACACTCTTGTATTTACAGGACCTGAGTGCATCTGTGCACAGGGGCCTCGCCCGACATGAATTTTGCACGGTGATGTCAGCGGAAAACCGTGGTGTTGCTGAAAGGAGGTTTTGGGGGGGGGGGGGGGGGGGTGAAGTGACATCATCTCATTAATGCTTTGGCCATGAAATCATTTCAGTGCATGAAAAGCTTTGCATCGTGGGGTCACACAGAAAGGGAGTGCTGAGAATTTGTCCATTGGAGGGAGAGATAGATATGGGTAAAGGGAATGCTGGGATGGAGACTGCGGTGCCTGTTGATCCGTTAATCTCGTCTGTAAACGTCTATCATCATGCCGATGTCGGTCTTTCAGGCCTTGATCATCCTGTAAGGGAGAAGACAAATTAGGAGTGAGAGTTTGTGGGAGTAAGGACGTGTTCATGAGAAGACGTTATCGTGAGAAAGTAAGGGCTTTTATTTTAGATTAAGGGCAGATTTGATTTTCTCAGGGTTGCTAAAGGCCTTCACAACATCAGGGTGAGCGTGGCCAGTTTGGGTGTAAAGGGTAGATGACTGCAGCTTGTCATTTCTGAATTTCTTGTCTGACCACATGAGCAAGTTTATCTGACATGTGATACGTTCTAGATTAGAAGATGGATTCTAAGTCGCTGAAGGGTTACTAGATACCGTTATTGAGTGACTTAAGATGTTAATGGTTTTAAATCAACATCTAAAGGGGGTAAAGATGGATACAAACAGGGCAAGAGGTCACCACCGAGTCACACAGGAGCTGCTCAGTGATGCAATACACAAATGCTTCCTTTAAACTAGATAGCAGATCAGAGAAAAAAAAAAAAATGCTTTTTTTTTAGACAAAATACATGTTTACACTATATACATCTTGGGTGAACTGATCACAAGTGGACAGCAAAAGGTGTAAAATCCAAAATATCTGTGATCACTCAAACCAAATTTGGAGGTGTAAGAAATGCATGACCTGAAAGACCTTAAATACATAATCCCTCCACCAACATAAATTTCAAACTGGTTGAGTACGGCTTTAAAAGAAAATGTGAAATGTAAAACGTTGAAACGTGCATACATGCACAATACTTTTGACATTTTGATATCACAGATCCCCTTGCAAAAGTCTCCTTTTTAATTTAAATGGCAATTTATTTTCAAAAATTTTAACAAAAATTAGTCCCTAGTAAACCCCTTGTCGAACAAACCCCTACTACATAGATCACGTGAAGCATGCACATTCAAAGTTACACTCTAAAAATGCTGGGTTGTTTTAACCCAACTTTGGGTAAAATATGGACAAACCCAAACGTTGGGTTAAAAATGTAATTAAAAAAATTAACCCAATGGCTGGGTTTGTTCATATTTGACCCAAAGTTGGGTTAAAACAACC